TCTGCTTTGTGGAATAGGTCTTCAAGGATGTTAATTTGTTTCTGAAGCTGTGCTTTATATATCTGCAAAAATTTAATCTATTGACAAGAAACAGTATACACAATGACTATAAAAATGTAAATGAGAAGATTGGAAAAAAGACAAGGAGTGAATAATGGAAAAATTAGTGAAGGTCCCAAAGAATAGATAATGTTATCTACCTTCTGCCTCAAGGCAAAGAAGTGGAGGACTTCTAGGACAGATTGTTATATATACAAAGTTAGCTATAGTTACTGTTTCAGATCTTTACTTAATGTTGTTTTGTTTTGTTTTTAAATTTCAAGGGATGGTGCAGTCTGGAAGAGGGAAGGTGTTGAAATGATCATGATGTAAACATCATGATATGAAAAGGCACATCTGGTGCACTGTGTTCATAAGTTTTCAACACCAAGGTTTAAGATGGACATTGATAAGCTTGGAGAAGACAGCAAGGGTGCAGGATAGCTTTGTTTCAGGTATCTGAAGGGCTATCATGTGGAGAAATACTAGCTTGTTCTATCTGGGCTCAGAGGTCAGAATCAGGCAGAAGTTGGAAAGAGATCAATTGGGACAACGTCAGGGGAAAAAATTCCTAAGAATTAGAGATTCCAAAAGTGTAATAGGCTGCCTCAAGAAGTAGTGGCTTTCTCTTTGTTGGAGAATTTCAAGCAGTAGCCGGATTACTACTTGCCATAGTGGGGATTCCTTTTAAGGTATGGGTTGGTTGTCCAACAATTTTTTTTTTGGTAATGGTGAGGTTTATTTCTATATCATACCCCCCAGGAGTGGCTGAAGTTTCATAGAAACAAAGGTCATAGGAGTTGATGAACTGGGAAGTGAGTATTAGATCATCAGTGTGAAAATTGAAATTGCCAAGGATAAAGGCAGGAGTTTGGATGCAGAAAACTATAAGCTAAGTTCTGAGATTACTTAGGAAGGAGAGAGGATGACCTATAGAATCTCTATAGAAGATGATATAACAAAAAAGATCTGACCTGTGAGACATAATTGGTTAGTGTAAATTTCATATAAGAAGAGGATAGAGCGTGGAAGTGGCAGTGTAGGAAGTCTGTTGACTTTTCCTCACTTTATGTATGGGAAATGATGAAAAAAGTAGCAGATGGCCTCAGAAAGGGTGGCATGGAATACTGTCTCATCAGGAGAAAATTAGGCTTCAGTTAGCACCAGATGAAAGGAGTGCTAGAGAAGTGCTTGAAGGCAACTGATTAACAATGGAAAGGGTGAGTAGAGAATAGTAAGGGGAGGGAGAGGACAGAAGTAACTAGTGATGCAAGTCCATGGAGAGGTAAGGGGGAAAGTGCTTTTCCCTCAGGTACCTAGAGGTTCTGAATCATAAGGGATTAGAGGAGTAGGAGGTTAGTTTCTCTGGGTCTGGGGGTGTCAATGTATAGGGAGAAACCTATAGACTAAATTGGCCCCAAGGTATTAATTAGAATGTTCATGTGATGTGGCCTCGGTGGAGTCTCTTGATTGCAATAAGGAAGAGAAATTACTTCTGGGCCCCAGAGGGCATAAGTAGGAGAAATGGGTGGAAGCTACAGAGGCTAATTGTCACTAATTATAAGGAAAAACTTCTTTACAATTAGAGATATTTAACAGTGGAATAGTCTGCTTTAAGAAGTATAAGTATGTAAGGTCCCTCTGGGCTGAGAAAAATGATCTGGCTCCTGTGGATAATAATGGATTTCAGGAAGGGTCCTTGGCTGAATTGCTTTCTAGGTTATGCTTTGGGGGGGGGGGCAATGGGTTAAGTGACTTGCCCAGGGTCACACAGCTAGTAAGTGTATGAGGCTGGATTGGAACTCAGGTCCTCCTGACTCTAGAGCAGTACTCTATCCACTGAACCCTTAGTAGTCCCCAGGCCATGTTTTTAATGTGTGTCCCATTAGCTGCTCCACAACTCCTTTGTTCTCCCCATTTCCAGCTCTTCCTGTCTGACATGCTTGTGAAAAGCAGTTAGCCTCAACCTTTGTATCCTACTTTAGTGAGCACCTCCCATCACTTTCTGTAGAAACATCCAGCAGTTCCTGGAGGGAAACCAAAACAGTTGAGGCAGAGAGGGCCTGCTCGGTCTTGGCTACAAAGTTTTATGAGAAGGATAAAGGTAGTTTGAATTGACATTTCTGTAACTCTGAGGAGGTGGAAACAAGGACAGGGGGCCTAGGTGTATCTATATATGTTCATGCCAATAGTTAGAAAGGTTAGGCCTTCAATAAAAATGAGGATAAAAATCTTAGCACCTTAGTTATAAGTCTAAGTCAGTTACTTATTACTATAGCCTTAGCATCGTACTTTTCAGAAGGCAAGGACTGCCATTTTTTATGTTTATGTCCCTTGTATAATGTGCCGAACAGAGGAGGAACTTACAGTGTTTGTTCAAATGAATTGAACTCTGTGTGGGTAAGTTTAGCATGCTGCTGGGAAGTGTATTGCCGGGGCCTCTAATGTACCAGTTGATATCAGCTGCCTATCAACTCCTACAATGAACTTTTTGGAAAGCAAGGAATAGAGGGCATTGTCACACACAGGTGGGATGATAAGGGCAATGATTTCCTTTCCCAAGAGCCTTAGCCTTGGAGATCACTACTCTTTCGGCTCTATTCTTGACTTGTGGAATTTATCCACCATTCCTAACCACCACTCTCTTCGTGTATTTTCCTCCCTTCTCCTCCTTTTAGTCTTCCTTTTATGTGTTGTCTTCCCCTTTAGAATGTAAAATCTTTGAGGGTAGAGATTGTCTTTCTTTCTGCTTATATTTGCATTCCTAGTGCTTAGCCTAGTGAAACATAGTAAGTGCTCAATTAATGCTTGTTGATTAGAATATTCCGGGATCAACAGAAGCATATAGTAACTTCTTCAAAGAGCTATGGGGAACCCAAGGAGCAGGGATCATAAAATTTAGCAATTCAATTAAAAAAGTATTTATAAAGCAGTTACTATTTGCCAGGCACTATAGACACTGGAAGTACAAAGACAAATATAAAACAGTATCTGCCCTCAAGAAGCTTATATTCTACTGATGGAAACAATACATACACAGATGTAACCCAGGGCCCAGGGCCTCCCAAAGACTCACAGGTTCAATCCTGTGGGCTGATCCCACAGGGTCATCTCTCTTTGGTCCTTTCCCTAACCTGGAATTGTCTGGGAAAATCTCTAAAACAAAGCTTTAATGTGGGTGGCATCTAGGTTTCTCCAAATGTGGGCCAGAGGGTCCTCAACTCTACAAATACTCAAGGTGCAACATGGGTATTGGATATGGAACACTCAACACCAAAAATCTGTCATAAGTAAAGGAGTTATGCAACTATGAATAGGCACAGAATCACAAAGTTTTCAACTTACCTAAATCCATTAGACCTTCCAGGAAAGTAGATATTTTGGAGGACTAATGAATAATACCCACTCTTCACCCCTATTTATCTCAGGGATCCCTCATCTGGGCAAACAATGGCAATGGCATTATTGGCAAAGCCAGATATCCTGTCCATATGGCACAGCTTTGTTGAGGATCTTTTCTTGAGAAGATCTCTCTCTCTCTCTCTCTCTCTCTCTCTCTCTCTCTCTTCTCTCTCTCTCTCTCTCTCTCTCTCTCTCTCTCTCTCTCTCTCTCAGAAGCTAGTACCCTCTCTAATTTAGAGCCTCTTAACTTATTGGTAACTTAGTAACTCTTCAATTTGCATAAAAAGGCTATCCTTAGGACCTCCAGCTTCTAATCTATGCTTAAAATTTTTAAAAAGTAAATAGAAAGACAGGAAAAAATAGAAGTCCAGGAACTTTTCTTTCAGGTCCACCAGTCTGCTCTGTTCCAATTCCACACCTGTTGCCTGACCCAGCTAAAGATCACTCTACCCTGAGGTCAGTTCAATAAGCAGAGAATCCCTTCCTACAACTGCCATAGGATGAGAAGCCTCAGCCACTCTGCATATCACTTTGACTCATGGCTCCACCCTCACAGGGGCCCCCTTTCCAATTGCCCTTTATATGTTCTTTCCCCACCCCAACCCCCACTGAAAAGGGACTGTCTTGTTTTCTTTTCTGTATCCATAGCACTTATAGTTTGGTACAAGTTAAGTGCTTAATAAACAATTTATCATCTATTTATCTATCTGTCTGTCTATCATCTACCTCTTGTAAGCTGCCATTTTCCATTGGAAAGGGGGCAGTGCATCTGGAAAGATGATCGCCTACAGGTAGTTTTGAGTCCTAGAAAATTATGTGTCCTTTAGTTCACCATTACCTCCCAATGGAGCACAGAGGCTTCCACTAACCACAGAACACCGTGGCTACTTGAAGGATTGAGTCTGAGAACCTATGCTTCATAGCTCAACCATACCTCATGGTAGGATTAACCAAGGATGGACCAATGGTTATGGAGGGAGATCTGAGCAGTGGCGCAGTAAACAGAGCCAGGTCTGTGTAGGGAGCTGTAGGACGTTGAAGACCACAGGCTGTTCATGAGACTTCACTGATGGGCGAAGGCCCCTCTCGGGTGTTAGTACATGTGCAGAATATCCTGGCTCGGTTCTCCATCCATGGACCTTGCATTCCCCAATCAGCAGAACTCTGATACTAGGCAAGCTCAAACTATAACACAATGTTGCTAGCTCAAGTATAGTCAGCTGTAGCACAAACAGATATCCAGTATTGCTAACTTAGGTATCAAGTATTGCTAGTTCATGTATCAAGTACTGGGAACATTCTGGGAACGAAAAGTACATGATGTTTTACGCAACGGCACTGGAGAAGGACACAGTCAGGACAATGTTGCAAAGAAATGCACTTGTGGATACTTTGATTGGTATTCGCATGGGAAAGATGCTCGGTGTTGCCTATTGGTAAAGATATGTAAACCTTGTTGGCTTTGTTCACTGTTACATTGGGGTGTTGTTCCCATGAGTAAAAGATATAAAACGCTGAAGGCAGGACCAGAGGGTAGTAGTAGAGGAGGAGGAGGAGGAGGAGGAGGAGTAGCGAGTAGGGTAGCTGCGTAGTTGATTACCCGCTTGAGAGAATGGCTGAATAAACCTTTTGAAACTACACCTCTCTGTTGACTGCACTCCTTCGTTTTCCGAGGACGCCCAAAGACTGCAGGTGCAGGTGAGTATGACCCAGGCAGCCCTCCTGAAGTAACGAGGACCATTACAGGTCTGGAGTTAGGAAGACTCATCTTCCTGAATTCAAATCTGGCCTTAGCCACTTGCTAGTTATGTGACCCTGGGCACATCACTTAACCCTGTTTGCCTCAGTTTCCTCATCTATAAAATAAGCAGGAGAAGGAAATGGCAAACTACTTTAGTATCTTTGCCAAGAAAACCTCAAATGGGGTCACAAAGAGTTGGACACATCTGAAAATGACTGAACAGCAACTCTTTGGGCAGTCTGTGGAAAGTAGAATTCTAAAATGTAAATAGTTTTCTTGGATAGGCTAATCTATTTTTTCTTTTTTTAAAATTAATTTATTTTGATTTATCAGTAATCACTTCCATAAGCTCTTGAGTTATAAATTTTTCTCCCCCTCCCTTCCTCCCTTCCTCCCCAAGACAGTGCGCAATCTGATATAGGCTATACATATACATTCCTATTAAATATATTTTCACATTAGTGATGTTGTAAGGAAGAATTAGAACCAATAGGAGGAATCACCAGAAAGAGGAAACAAAACAAAACAGAAGGAAAAAAAATAGCAAATAGTATGCTTCAATCTTCATTCAAACTCCATCGTTCTTTCTTTGGATATAGATAGCATTTTCCATCCTGAGACCTTTGGAGATGTTTTAGATCCTTGCATTGCTGACAAGGGTTAAGTCTATCAATGTTAGTCATTGCACAACTTGGCTGTTACTGTGTACAATGTTCCCCTGGTTCTGCTCACTTCACTCAGCATCAGTCCATACAAGTCATTCCAGGATTTTCTGAAGTCTGCTCATTATTTCTTCTTCTTCTTCTTCTTCTTCTTCTTCTTCTTCTTCTTCTTCTTCTTCTTCTTCTTCTTCTTCTTCTTCTTCTTCTTCTTCTTCTTCTTCTTTTTTTTGGCTAGGCAATGGGGTTAAGTGACTTGCCCAGGGTCACACAGCTAATAAGTGTTATGTGTCTGAGGCCAGATTTGAACTCAGGTCCTCCTGAATCCAGGGCTAGTACTCTGTTCACTGCGCCACCTAGTTGCCCCCTCATCATTTCTTCTAGCATAACAGTATTCCATTACATTCATATACCACAACTTGTTCATTCACCAACTGATGTGAATCCTCTCAATTTCCAATTCTTTGTCACCACAAAAACAGCTGATATAAATATTTTTTGTACTTGTGGGTCCTTTTCCCATTTGTATGATCTCTTTGGGATATAGCCCTAGAAGTGCTATTGGTGGGTCTAATCTATTATTTTAAATAAAACTATCTTTTACCTAGTAAGTAAACAATTGACAAGAGGCAAAATGGTACAGTGGAAAGATAGCTGGATTTGAAACCAAAGGAGATATATTCAAATCACAGCTCTTCGCCTATGACCTTGGGTAAGTCATAATCTCTCTGAACTTCAGTTCCTTCGTAAAACTATAGGGTTGGATTTAGTGACTTCAGAAATCCCTTCCACCTCTAAATCTATGAAAAAATATGTTTCTGCTACTTTTAAAATGTCTTTTTAACTGATTCATGTCCAAAACTACTGTTTAAAAGTAGGCCAAAATGTTTCTTTAAAAAAAAAAAAGAAACTTCTCTGACTAGTTTAAGCCTACATACACTACCTTTTATATATCTCTGATGGATGGTTTGAACAGAAGTAAGAAGTTGTTCTCCTATTATTTCTTCACTGTAAAAAGACTGTAAATCCCTTGAATCCAGGGGACCTTGTTTTCTATTCAGAACAATTTAGTCACATACACAATCAATGCTTAGTAAATATTTCTTGAATTAATGGTACTTCTTGAATGGCTGGTTTAAGCTCTATGACAATGTTATTTCTTCATTCATCTTCTACCTCTTTGACCACTTCTCTATTTCCCCTACTGGCTCCTGTTCATCCTCTTGTCCCCTAAGCACAGGTGTTCGCCAAAGCCTTCATCCCTTCTCTCTCAACAGTCTCTCCCTTGGAAGTCTCAGTTGCTCTCATTGTTTCAGATATCACCACTAAGGAAATGACTCCCAAATCTATATTTCTTAGCCTGACCTTTCTCCACAATTCCGGGCTTACATCTCCACTTGGTTGTCCTGTTGGCCTCTCAAATGCCTCATGTCTAAATGAACTGATCATCCTCACAATATGAATAACTCACATTTGCATAGTGCCTTAAGTTTTATAAAGCACTCTATACACATTATATATGATCATCTTCAGCCCAAAACATGTTCTTCTTCTCCACTTGCCTATTCCAATGGCCTCATCATTCTTCCATCTCAGTTACCTAGGCTAAAAACTCGAGTCAGCTTTTATTCTTTCCTTTCCTTCAATTACCATAATCTACTAATCATTAAATCCTATTGCTTATATCCCTCCTGGTATCCATCCAACCTGTCCTTGCCTTTCTATTTTCACTACCATAACCTCAGTGTGGGCCCTCCTTATCTCTAAAGTGGATTATTTCAATGGTTTCATTGCCTCTAGTCTCTCATCCCATTCCTGTTCACCCTAATCTTATTCATTCTCACAGAGTAATCTTCTTATAGCATGATTCAATCATGTTATTCCCCTACTGAAAGAGTCAATGGCTCTCCATTGACTAGCAAAGAAAATCCAATTTCCTTTGTCTAAGCATTGAATCCCAACACAAGTGAGCACCAATCTACATTTATAGCTTCTTATCATATTTTTCCTGTTCACAGTCAATGTTCCATCAAAACTACACTACATTACACTACATTACTCATGGACACATTTAGGACATTCCTTATCCATGTCAATCATGCACCATTCTCTTTTTAGAATGTTCTCTTACCTTCTCAGTATGTTAAAGCCAATTCATTCTTCAAGGTCCATCTGAATTGTCCCCTTCTCCAAGAAGCCAACTTTCTTGAAATGCCTCCCACCTCATAGTCACTTTCTCTTCTCCTTCCATAAACCTTTCAAAGAATTTCAAAATCTCTCATGCACTTAGAATCTAATATGTATACATGTCTTCTCCCCATTAGACTGTAAGCTCCTTGAGAGCAGGAACGCATGTCTTATATGTTTTTGTACTTTCCTTATTCTACAGCAAAAGATGGTATGCATTTGAGGTATTCAATAATTATGTTAGAATATTTCCTAAATTGCATGAATAAGTGGTTAATTATTGATTTACTAATTGAATTAATGAGGTTGGATGAATTAATAAGTTGCTGAATGATGAATAGATGAATTCATTGGTGAACAAATGAATTAAAGGATGAATAAAATTGGTCAATCAGACTGTGGCATAGACTAAGAATATCTAAGAGTCAAGTGGTACAAGTTGAATGAGATAGCCTAAATACCATTCAGGAGTACCCTCTGCTTTAGGACCTGATCTCAGAAGGTACTCTCTGAAAGTCTATCATCCAGTTTTAGATACTAATACTACTAGTACTACTACTACCACTGCTGCTGCTGCTGCTGCTACTACCATTAGTACTACTACTACTACTACTACTACTACTACTACTACTACTATTAACAACATTAATAGCTAATATTTATATACCACTTTAAGATTTGCAAAGCTCTTTATATACATTATGTCATTTGATTGTCACAACCCTGGGAAGTAGGTGCCATTATTATCCCCAGTTTACAATTGAGGAAACTGAGGCAAATAAATATCTAAATGACTTGCCCAAGGTCAAACAGCTACTAAGTGTTTGAGGCTAGATTTAAACTCAAATTTAAATTCCATGCCCAGTACTCTATCCAGCATTCCATATAGCCGCCTTTGAGTTACTAGCTCACAATAGAACATGACCCAGCAGTCAGTGTGGTCTCACCTACCTTCATAAAGAATGGAATAAAATCAGATCATTTGCTGTCTTAGGGAGGTGGGGAGGGAAGAGCGAGAGGAAGAAAAATTTGGAACAAAACATCTCACAGAAATGAATGTTGAAAACTATCTTAGCACATAAGTGGAAAAAAATAAAATACTATTAAGGGAAAAAATGAATAAAAAAACCCAAAAAGGCAGCATAGACTTGTCCCTCTGCCATGTCTGCAGGTTCCCTGCAGGGGTAAGGGATGAGTGAAGAGAAAAGAAGAATTAATTATAATCACTATTCTGGCCCCATCTTTCTCTGGCTGGATCTGTCCATGGTGCTACAGACTGCTTTAGCCCTCAGGGGAATTACATTCCAACTTCAGTAGAAGAAAAGTCCTACTGAAGTTTTAAGCTATTTAAGCTTTAATGACTTGAAAGGCACTAAGACTTTTGGCACACCCAATGTACTGCCAAAGCAAACACCCTTAGGTAAAGTTCCTTGGGAGGTGATGCAACCAGCTCTCCTTGTGGACTTCTCTGATCTCCTGAACTGGGATTTAAGTCTAGGATTCTACTGGAGCTACAGGCATCTCTCCTCTGTTTTCTAATCTTCCCTGAAGCATAAACTATGGAAGCTCAGCTCTCTTGGGAATTTAAGAGGATACTGAGCAGAATTCTCCTGAAGCTCAGAATGATACATGGCAGAATCCCAGGTACTGAGGATGCTGATGAAGTGATGAGGCCATATTCCTCAAGAGCTTTGAATGATTCAGTAAAAAATTATCTACTATGTGATCGATGCAATAGGATCTGGACAATTGACATCAAGTCCAAAGATGAATTCTTGGGGATGCAAGATCTTGAAGGAAAAAAAACCTCATATGTTTATGACCTGGTTCCAGCCTGACTGAGAGCTCTTAGATCCTGCTTTTCAGTGTCACTACTCTGAAACATTTCAAGTGACATAAAGTTAAGTGGGGGCTTGTACTTCAGACAGTAATAATTGTTGATCCAGCCCACACACAGTGGGTGAAAGCAGCGGGTATGGATGCTGGGTTTTGACTTGCTGCTTAGTATTGTATAGCTTAAAATTCAAACAAGGAGCTTAGGGATACACGGAGGGCGATATGAAACAAGTATTTATTATGGTCAAACACTCTGTTATATTTGCGATAACCAC